TATACAGCTTTCAGACAAGGCAACTACATGACTGGACATGGCGCGATAACCGGACCTCTGAACCGGCCCTCTCCATCTACACCTGCGGACTGCCCCCCTCGATCTACACCTGTGGACTGTCCTGCCCGACCCGCCTGGGAGCGCTTCAGTCCTGCACCGGACCTGTCCACGCTCTGCGGCCGCTGCGTGGCATTGGTCCTCATTCTATAGCTTAGGTCCTGGATCAGTAGCCCGTCCATCCGTGTAGCAGCCCGTCCGTCCGTGTAGGAGCGAATCCCTTTCTCAATATGTGGGTCTCCCCGAGGTTTCTCACTTTTTTTTCCCCACTGGGTTTTTGTGAGTTTTTCCTTGCCGATACAGGAGGGTCTGTTGGGCAGTTAGTGTCCAACTAGAAGGACTGTGGTGATGATCCAGGACACTTTAACATTCTACAACATGTATGGACATTTATCAACATTCATGAACATTGGTCACTCCCTACGAACCAATTCATATGCGTATATTTTGTGTCTTAACTGTTGATTCTCTGATCTGTGTTGGTGATTTCAATGGTTTTGTTAAGTCCTCTGATGACTCCTGTTGTGATTTAGGGCTATACAAGAATAAGTTGTTGTTGACTGATTTTATTATGACTTAATTAAACCAGTAAGAGCACAAACTACATGCTTCTTTTAAAGGATGTATGACAGGTATGAACAGCTGTATAACTTGGACCATTATGAGTGAAATGAAACCAGATTTATATGTAAAATATAGTTTTACAATTATTGCAATAACACAGTCAACAGACAACGTGGTGGAGAAGTGGCAGGATTGTTTGTAAGGGATGCGATCTAAATGTTAACACCCAGTGGGACCAAAAAACAGCTACAGTTTTGCAAAGCATTGTTCTGGGCAGTAACAGCTAACTTTACTCTTTCTTATCCAAGCATAAGAGGAACACTTTTTTGGCTTCTCTAATTCCCACAAAGTATAGCAATCCTTAGCTTCCTCAATATATCATCAGGTGTATTGGTTCCTTTGGCACCCCCCACGCTGCCTCTGTTCCCTCCTGTTATCCGTTAACCTTTGTATGTGTGCATTAGTCCTAAATAGTGGCAGCAAGATCCCTTTGTTTAAACCTAACCATAACTTTTTCCAGTGAAAGTAGCAGTGAAAAAAACGCAAGGACCTGGTGCGTGTCTGGGAAGTACTGTAGTCACATGTAACACCGCATAAGGTTTTCATCTTTAGAGCGCTTTGTGAATCTGTGAAAGTGGAATAAAAACAGTTTCCTCCCTTCCTTTCTTCCATTCACAGGAAGTTTAGAGCAGATGTCAATAACTGATGACATAACTGAAGGAAGATTTCATTCTAAAGTTTCACTCAATTTCCAACACATTTTCTGACATGAATGATTGATTACATGGACATATGTTGATTCCCATTCAAATAAATAAATACTTAACATTACATAAATACATAATCTAACTGAGTGATTATATATTCCAATGTTTTCTAGGGCTGTAACAAGTTCATAGATTCGTCACAGAAAATGGATTCCTTGTCCGATGATTGCTAATGTTTTTATTCCCAATTGCCAATGGATGACCAATGATATATATGTTTAATAAATGTCCATAAATATCCATACATGTTCTTATATGTTCTTAAATGTTGAATCCTTGGGTTGTAATCAAACAACCCACTGTGTAAGTCATCTTTGAGCTTTGAAATTATAACAAAAAAATCTCATATTCGCTGAAGTAACTGATCAATTAAACGCAACAAATAATCTGTCAAATACTTGACAAAATAACCATTAATTACCAGCCCTATTGTTGTCACTCACAAATGATCTAAACCATAATATTCCTTGTTGTGTTGCGTGGGTCCTGGTCTTGTTGAGCATTTTTGAATGCGCTGGTGCAGTGTTGTTGAGCAGAAGGCCCATGTGGATGCACTAATACTCACCAGATCACAAGGATTAGGAGATTGTTTATAGGATCAGCTGAACAATAGACAGGGGAGACTCCACTGTGGTCCAGAGCTCTGTTTGCCTCCGGCTCTGCACAACTCTGCCCTTTACCCACTTCCTCCTCCTCCTCCCTCCCAGCATCCCGTCTGACTCCCTTCTCTCCCCGTTTCTCATGGGTTTCTCCAAAATCACTGAAAATACCTTGTCCTTTAAGAGTGACCTTTTATCACAGTGAGACAGTGTTGCTCCAGGTTTAGTTACATAGAGCTCAAGACATTATTATGACTTTTTTATTGCCACTTAGAATGAAAACATGAAGGAAGGACAAAAAAAAAAAGTGTGTTATGCCTGACTTCCACTTACTTTATATCCTCACATGTGCATCAAGGACTTGTTCAACCTCAAATCTCTAGACCAGGGGTCTCCAACCTTTTCCAATCGGGGAGCTACTTTCATACAACAGAAGAGGCAGAGAGCTACTCCTTTTTGCAGTCATACTAACAATCTATGAAATAATAACGACAAGAGAGGACACACATGGAGAACACATGTAAAATACACTGCTATTACTGTATTAGCCTATATTTTTTACTTATAAAAGATATGTATTGACTCCAAATGTATTCATTAAAGATCATTTGTTAAATTTTAAATCCTTTGGTGGCGAGCTACCTGAAAGGGGCTGGCGAGCTATACCGGTAGCTCCCGAGTCACAGGTTGGAGACCCCTGCTCTAGATACACTGCAAATGACAAAATATAAGGTGACATATGCTTGAATAAAGTGTTTTTTTTCATCTTCAACTGAGAATGGCGCCGTAAAGATGGCGCCTTGGCAAGAGCTCTGGTGTGTGTTGGTGCACACTCGGGTAGTCTTGCACAGTTTTTCCAATGTGGTTTTACTGCAAATGGCAAATAAATGAATCTGAATCTGAATCTGAATCTGAATCTGAATTTTTTGTTTTTCAATGTGACAAATAATATTCACACACCTTTTGGCCGCTCCTTCTACAGCAAGGGGAGATGAAATATAACATCAAACAAATAGATACATTCAATAACGAGTAATGATAATTTTGTTGTGATGTTGTTGTTGGACCAATCACTGTCCGGCGCTAATTGCCCTACAGTCAAACCGTACCACAACAAGGAGATTTGAGGATGACAGTTGCCCTCGGCGTTGCCACAGCAGACTCGGGCAGCTGAGGGAAAGGGGGGTGGTCTAAAGCTGCTCGCTGGCCAGCCTCAGTCAGCCCCGGCCTTGGGAGACAGCTGGACCTCCTCTCACCTCCCCATGGCCTGTGGTGGTCAGGGCTGTACCCACTGCCATAAGGTCCAGATCCACGGCTTTGGAACAAGACTATTGGGAAACACGTTTGAATGCAGCATTTAAAACGGTCTTCCCTGCGTTGGTCTTTTGTTTCAGTCTTACTAACTTATTTAAATTACTTAAACATATTACATACAAATATATACACACTACAACAACACTCAGTCAAATTATCAGGAGCAAAAAGAGAGTTTTCCTAGATATGTAAGAGAAGCTTCTTATTGCATTGAAATGTCTGTTGGTGTTAAAATACTTTCTGTGCATATAGCCAATTTTCAACTTTTTTATATGATATTTTTGTTTTATTGGTGTGTTTTTAAAATGTTTGAAACATGTTTTAATATTGTTGTGTATTAAAGCACTTAGCACTTATTGTACGGTAATATACTGTACCAATACAATACGAGGGTTCAATGCTTATAAACATTTTTATAAAAACTTGTTAAAACCTGTTAAAATTATGCATATAACCTATTGAACCATACTATTAAACCAAGACAGTGTACCATAATTTATTCAATGATTAAATGAATAATGCAATATTATTGTATTATTACAATTATTATTGGGCGGCACGGTGGCTGAGTGGATAGCACTCTCGCCTCTCAGCAAGAAGGTCCTGGGTTCGAATCCCGGTTGGACCAGGGCCTTTCTGAGTGGAGTTTGCATGTTCTCCCCGTGTCTGCGTAGGTTTCCTCCGGGTGCTCCGGTTTCCCCTACCACTAAAAATATGTACAATAGGTCTGGCATGTGCCTCCTGTACTGGCACCCCCACTCCCAAAAATCACAATTGTAAACCGCTTTGAGACTCCGATCTGCAGTGAAAAGGCGGTATATAAATAAAGATTACTTACTACTTACTACTTATTGGGTGTCAGTAATTTCAAGTGATTTTTTTTTTCAAATGAATTATCCAATATTTTCTGCGCGGGCCGGTTCTAATACTAATCAAATATCATCTTGGGGGCCAAGATAAATTATTCGTGGGCCGGCTCTGGCCCCTGTGCCTTGACTTGGACACCCATTCCTTTGATGTAATGATACATATTATAAATATGGATTATATGTTAATATTACATCATTTTTGCATTATATAGTTTTTATGTTTTGATTATTGATTTATTTATTTCATTGACAACAGTTAGTTATGACAACATCTTGTTGAAGTTCTGTATCTGCACCAATGCTAGCTACAACCACAGACTGTAAATATTGCTACAACCGAGCAGCTGCACTGGATTATTATAAGCATTACTGTCTGATTATTATCTCACGGCTTGAAGATTTATAGTATCTGGCCTGTAACCTAAGTCCAGATGTTGGAAATTGAAATGAAAAAAGTACATTATCCCTCACTAAAGCCACAGAACCTTCTTTCTGCTGTAATCATGCTGTTTAACATGCTGTTTAAAGAGAAAATTCACTCAACCAAACAAAATGGCCAACTCTTTATTTTTATGTGAAAATGACAGAGGCGGACATCGGTATCTCTTGAAAGTTTCCTTAATGACAGTACCTAACTTTGCAACACAGTGGCAGCAGTCTGGCAGCTGTGTTTTGCATCTCTGATTGTCTTACACATATTTCCTTTTTATCAAATTTTCTGAAAGGTGTAATTATGTCGGCCCCCTTGAAATATCCCCGGCGTGTTCGCTCGTGTTCATCTGGTGCTCGCCACATATAATTTAATTTGAATTCATTACTCCCCCCTCCTGTCAGTTAATATATTCATGACTTTCAATTCCCTCAGAGCTGTCCCACCACCTGGAGTGTCCTCCCTCATCTGTGTCACTCCTCCCCCGTCGCCTCCACCTCGTGCCTCCCCCCTTGTCCCATCGCAGGACCTCCCCAGGGGCCCATGAAAGGGTGTTAGGGCTCGGGTCATGGGCCGGGGGAGGCTGGGTGGAGGGTGCTGTCATTAGGCTGCAGTGGAATGTGATAGCGGGGAGCAGCTGGGGCGGTGGCCTCTGCTTGTGCTGGTGCTGCTGGTTTGTCCCAGTGAGGAGCGGGTGACACCTGCAAACAGCCGGGGCAGGTGGCACTTACGGCAGCGTAAAGGGTGAGACAGCAGCACGGGCAGTTACATCAGTCAAATGTGCAGGTGAAACTTGTAAAATTAGAATACTGTCAAAAAAGTTTATTTTTTTCTGTAATTTGACCAGTATATGGTCTATTGATTGATTGATTGAATACTGTGTTTTGGGCCATACAAAACTATAACATTCGCACAGTACCTACTTACATGGGCAACAAATGAAGGACACAACAAAACAAAAAGATACAGGAACGATCTGTACAACATAAATATATATATAGACCTATTACATGCAAAAATAACATATGTCTTAGTTTGTTATGATTCTTATGATTATGGCTTGCAGTCCAATTTTACAAGCTGTGAGACAATTTTTAACATTATAACATATAAAGGCTGATACATCTCACTTTGCGTCTGTCATGTATTAGTTTCACTTTGAACAATATTGCAATTCTTCTAGTTACAGTCTGTGTGTAGTCACGTCACTATACTCCATCTTTACAGAGCGTCTGAAACTGTGGCTGAATTCAGAGTAAAGCCATATAAATGTTAAATTGAAGAATTAAAGAAGAATACATTTTACTAATTGTATATTTGTAGATTTGACGTGTGTATTTCTGTCTTTGAAGTGTCTGATGGATGTGTTAAATATGAGCAGGGTCTTGCTATAACTCTAAGGGCAGTGGATCTGGTCTGACCAATATTACTGTTTCAAATAAACAAAATAAATGTAAAATTTTCCTGTGTTTTTGAATTTCCTCTGGAAGGATACATGAAGTAGTCTAAATTTAGAGGTTATAAATATGTTAAATCATGCTTGCATTTATTTTACACATTGATTCGATTATTATATTTAATGTATATATTTGTTGTATCTTTTTCCTTGATTACAGAGACTATCACAGTAGTTTTACTCATTTTAGCTAAACTAAACAGTGTTTCACATTTTATTTAGTTTAATTTATGTTTAATTTTAACTTCACTTCTATTTAGTTTATGGCATTTATCTGTTTTTGTTCCAGTTTACAAAACGGACCACTGACTCACATCATTTCGAAATATTCTGAATAATTTTACATTTCATACAGCAATTTCATTATAAGATTGTAAACATGTAAGATCTAAGTGGTTAAACTGTCAAAGCCCAGAAAAAAAAAAAAAATCCATGGATGTTTCTCAGGTTTTAAGCAGTATAATTGCACGGAGGAGGCAGACGACAACAAACCAAATCTAAAATATAGCTGTGCTAGTAATTATAAAATATTTAGTATAGTCTGATTTAGACTTTTAGATTTTTCTTTTATTTGTATTTACAAGTTTCTACCATGTGCATACACAAAGCCTATAATTAGAGAGTGTGATGTTTCTCAATAGGAATCACCATCTTGAAGTTAATTATGACAAAATGTGAAAAACCTATAAACAAATAAAACAAACAACAAATAACATAGAACATTTGTACAATTTCTGTTTCAACCCAGAGTGAATACACATACGTCTTGCGGAGACCTGACCTTACTATTTGAGGATGCAGTGAGATTGATGCACACCGTACAATATGTGTATAAAAGTATGTATCCACCCAAGCTTGTGAGTTTTGCCATAATATATTACCTTTTGTCTTTCCCACAACAACATCCTTTATTTTTTTATGTTGAAAAATCCCGCATCAGTCGAGGAAAACAAAACAAAAGAACAAACATAAACCAATCCTCGCGCCTGGTGAGGAAGTTGGGCTGGAGTTTCACTTTCTAAACATTTTGTATTCTGTGTGCGTCTCATGGACCTTTGTGGCCGCTCCCTGCAGACTGTGTACGTTCCTTCTCCGTGCTAAATATTTCATGGAGGAAGTTTGATCGTTTGCCGGGGCCGGTGTCGCAGTTCAAAGGGGGAGACAAGGGACCTCTGACAGTCAGGCCGTCAGGTGGAGGGAGGACATTGCTTTTTGTGCTCAGAATGAATTCAGCACCACAACGCCGGACAGCTCCCCCTGCCTTTGTGCACCAAACAGCATTGGTAAAACTGACAATAGAGAAAAACAAGAGTGTATATCCATTGGCAACAAATTACTGCAAATATATAAATTGCAAAATACATGTTTATTTTGAAGTTAATAATATGTTGACAGTTCTACTAAGAATAAGAGTTGCCAATGAGCAGCAATCAAAGCAATTTCTCACTTGGAAAAAGAAATAATGCGACATGAAGCTGACAATAGTTAATTCCACTGAAAACTAAGAAAAAAAAAAAGTGTTCTTGGCTTGTTTTTGTTTGTTGTTGTTTTGAAATTTGAAACGAGTTTAAAATAAAATGTAATTATTGTATGTTTATATACAAACAAACAAGTACGCTGTGGTGTTATTATTGTATAAATGTACTCTTCAATATTGACTTAATCGAAACCTTCAAAATAAAGAAATGATGATCACAGATGTTGTTGTTGTTGCAAGAAATAACGTGATAAAAAAGTACAAAAGTGGGAGCACTTCATTGTGGTGCAGACGGATGACAGAAACAATGTTATAGCTTTTGCTTATTAGAATACAGAAATAGAGTTTATATCTTCTCCTCTGCCGTGATGTGTGTGAGAGTATTAAAAGCAGACAGGGGGCTTCATTATTAATCAGGACCCTTGCCGTAGTGCAGTGCGCCTCTCTCTATGGCTTAATGACTGAAAATGAGGGGTAATTATAGACTGTCATTCCCTGTAACCCCCCTTTAGCCTCGCTTCTCTCCAGTCTCTGTCCGCTCCTCTGCCCCACCACGCCCCTGTCATCCCTAACAACGTCCACTTAGCACATTCACTCCAATCACTCAACAACCCACTCTACATAACATGTTTTAATCAGTCCTACATTTACATACTTTTCAAGCACATCTGATGTTTGCTTGGAGTGACAAATTTTAATCTTATTTTGTTTATTTAACAATGATTTATTTTGACCGAAAGAATATATAATATATATTTCATATATATATATATATGAAATAGAAAACTAAAATAATTTTCATCTAAAGGAATTGGAATATAATTGTGGGGATGCCAATATTAAGATAAGATTAGATAAGATATGGCTTATTTAATTATGCATGACACCGAGAGACGCTTCAAATGGAATTATTCATTTTCTCCATACACTGTGGTGGTAAATTACTGCTGTAGCCACAGCTGCCCTGTGACAGACTCACAAAAACAAAGCTACTAATCGTCTGCACATACTTTTTCCAAATGTTGTTTTTCTCTGGTTTGTCCTGCTGCAGAAGGAGGGTCTAAGGACGGGAGATGCTCTGGGATTATCCAACTTTTTTTTTAAATGTTTCAGTTTGATTATAAGATAAGATCCTATATTCGTCCCACAGATGGGACATTTCAATGTTGCAGCGCACAAACAGGACAGTATAAGAGCACACAGGGAGCAAACAAAATGTAAAAAGTAATAGTATGTAGTTGCTATGTTTCTAAGCCAGCTGCATATGCTTCAATATTACTTAAGTGCAACATTATGTACATATAGAGCAGGGCAATGAGTAAATAAAGTGACATTCAGTGCACATTCTAAAGTTCCAGTGTTGCACATTATACAGAATTTACAGATTGTATTTACAGATAAATGACATGTACAGGCTCAGCAGTTCTCATTGTACAGTCTGACAGCAGAAAGAACAGTGGGCGACAGTAGCTCAGATGGTAGAGCATTCGCCTTTGAGCCAGAGGGTCGTGGGTTCGAACCCGACTTTCACCATCGACTCCCACTGTCTGCTGCCGTTGTGTCCTTGGCAAGACACTTCATCCCCATTGCCTAGAATGAGTCTGGTGTGTGTGTGTGAGTGTGTGTGTGTGTGAGTGGTTGGTGGTGGTCGGAGGGGCCGATGGCTGGTTGCCTCGTTTCTGTCAGTGTGCCCCAGGGCAGCTGTGGCTACAGTAGTAGTTTATCACCACTGTGTGTGGAGTGAAAGAATAATGACACATGTAAAGCTTCTTTGAGTGTCCAAAAAAGCGCTATATAAAACCAATGTATTATTATTAAAGAAGGAAAGACCTGCGGAACCTCTTCTTCACACAGCAAGGGTGTATAAGTCTGTCACTGAAACTTCTCTCCAGAACAAACAGGGTCTTTTGCGCTTAAAATATATATTTATCTCATAACAGTTTGTTTTCCAATTTGTTTTAATTGTATCCCTTATGTTTCTCTTACTCATATGAATAAACATACACACGTGATAAGTACAGATTTCTGTGTTGTGTTGTTTGATTTCAGCACCACTGTCTGCTGGACAGCTCCTCCTCTCTCCCAGAGCCATTTAATATGATTTCATAAAATTATGAATTACTGTGACTCCATCTAATAATACATCTTATTTTTTGTAGATGATTTATGCATCCATGTGTTTAGTTGTATTATTTATTGAATTAGCACAACTTAGAACAACTTTTAAAGCAATACCCGCAATTTGCAAAAACATTAGCGCCATTGTTCTAGGTAAATATATACTTTGCATTTATCCTGTCTCTTCCCATCTCCCCCTCCCTTCTTCTCGCGCACCGTGCACTTAAGCTCATCGTTATGCGGCGTGCGGTTTGTCAGAGCCCATGATGAATTTGTTTATGAGTGGAGGGAGCTGATTTCCCCTGAGTGGTCTTTCTCCATCTCCCTCAGCCTCAGCGTTTTCTTAACCCACATCACTTTGTCCAATCACATCTGCAGCCTTTGCCCCGGCCGCAGTCAGCCCTTTAGGGTGCCCCAGGACACACGCACTGGAGGGCCTCTGTCTGCTTGATTTTGCCAGATGACAGTAATGATCATAAATGGGACAATGATAAAGGAATGTATATGGAATGATCAAATCAAGAAATTTTTTAAGGTGAATCAAATTTTTTTTTTTAATCATTGTTTGATTTTAGTTTTATGTATATTTGAATACAAAGCCCTGTGAGTCACTATTTTACTTAAAAAGTTGATTTAAAGATGTGACAAAGGCCAAAACATGTAAAGATAGATTTAAAAGCATACATACATGTTTGGGGTTGGATAGTTGAGCATTCCAACTTTATACGTTTTAATTGTTGTATAAAAAACAACTCTTTTAACTATAAATGTACTGTATGTGTACATAGCTACCGGCATAATCAAAATGTAATATGCCATATAGTATCTGAAATCAATAACAGAACCTATTAACGATTTCGGAATGATCTTAGCCTTCTGCGTGTCAGAGTAGCAGAAATGCTCCGGGGCACATTCTCTATAAGAGCCTGTGTTTGCACCATGAGTTTCCTTATTAGCATTAATTTCCCCTGAGGAATCAATCAAGTATTATTCATCTATCTATTTAAAAAAATAAAAACAATTTAATACTAACTGTTGGTTTCAGTTTCAGACTCACTTATGTCTGTTTCGAACAAAATACAATGATTTTTGACAATACTCAGGCATCTGTAAAAAAGTCAAAGTTAGATTTGACTGTAAAATAAAAAATAGAGTGGACAGCACCGGTTCTATAGAAACATGAGTATAAACTTCCCTTTCAGAATTTCAGAATGCGTCAATTACACATTTATGGAGACAAAAACACACACGTTGCAGTCTCCAGCCGTGCCCTGAGCGCTGCCAGCCACGAGTAATGCGCTGCTTGTTTAAGTCTTCAGTGTCTCTTACAACATGAGGCAAGTTTAAAAATGCAGGCCGCGTTGATAGCACTGACAATACAAAACATCTCAGCTGACAGGTCTCCCTCCTGGGCTTTTCAATATACGCATGCTGTTTCAAATCTGCATCTAAAGCACACACACGTACACACATGCATCTAGCAGTCATATCCCAGTTGGAGGTTGTGGAAGTGCTAGCTATTATCAATTAATCTTTGCTGTGTTTTTTCTCGTGTGGAGACTGAGGCCATATGGCTCTCTGTCAGCCACTGCTTTTAATTTACTCCTTGCGTCTGCTGCGAAAACGCACCAACATCCCGTCTAAAGTGCTGATTTGATAGAAGGGCTACAGGGAGGTATGAAGGCGAGGCTCTTCTCTCTGCATCTAATATACATGTCCAGCACACCGGGGACTGTGTAAAAGTCAGAGAGAACAACAACATATGCAGAGGCTATAGCAGGCAGTGGACAGCCGGGCAAAAAGCACATGTTCCCAGTACCAGGTGTGAAATCTTGTTGTTTTTAGATTGAGCTTAAATATGCTGGCAGCAGCAGAAAACAAAATGTGTTGAGGCAAGACAGTACAATGCGTTACAGGTGATTCTAATTTTTCTTGGTTTTTTAAAAGGTCTACATTATATTATTTGCAACTATATCAATTGTTTCCATCCATCCATCCATTTTCTTCCGCTTTATCCGTTGCCGGGTCGCGGGGGCAGCAGTCTAAGCAGAGACGCCCAGACTTCCCTATCCACACACACTTCCTCCAGCTCGTCCGGGGGGACCCCTAGGCGTTCCCAGGCCAGCTGAGAGACATAGTCCCTCCAGCGTGTCCTAGGTCTTCCGCGGGGCCTCCTCCCGGTGGGACGTGCCCGGAACACCTCCCCAGGGAGGCGTCCAGGAGGCATCCGGAACAGATGCCCGAGCCACCTCAACTGGTTCCTCTCGACGTGGAGAAGCAGCGGCTCTACTCCGAGCTCCTCCCGTGTGACTGAGCTCCTCACCCTATCTCTAAGGGAGCGCCCAGCCACTCTGCGGAGGAAGCTCATTTCGACCGCTTGTATCCGCGATCTCGTTCTTTCGGTCATTACCCAAAGCTCATGACCATAGGTGAGGGAGGGAACGAAGATTGACCGGTAAATCGAGAGCTTTGCCTTTCGGCTCAGCTCCCTCTTTACCACAACGGTCCGATACAGCGACCGCATCACTGCGCACGCTGCACCGATCCGCCTGTCAATCTCACGCTCCATTCTTCCCTCACTCGTGAACAAGACCCCGAGATACTTGAACTCCTCCACTTGAGGAAGGGCCTCTCCACCCACCTGGAGAGGGCAAGGCACCTTTTTCCGGTCGGGCACCATGGCCTCGGATTTGGAGGTGCTGATTCTCATCCCAGCCGCTTCACACTCGGCTGCAAACCGTCCCAGTGAATGCTGCAGGTCCTGGTTCGTTGGAGCCAACAGGACAACATCGTCCGCAAACAGCAGAGATGAAATCCTGTGGTCCCCGAACCGGACCCCCTCCGACCCCTGGCTGCGCCTAGATATTCTGTCTATAAATACAGTGAACAGAACCGGTGACAAAGGGCAGCCCTGTCGGAGGCCAACATTCACCGGGAACAGATCTGACTTACTGCCGGCAATGCGAACACAGCTCTGGCTCCGGTCATACAGGGACCGGATGGCCCTCAGCAGAGGACCCCCGACCCCGTACTCCCGGAGAACCCCCCAAAGGACACCCCGGGGAACACAGTCGAACGCCTTCTCCAAATCCACAAAGCACATGTGGACAGGTTGGGCGAACTCCCATGAACCCTCGAGTATCCGATGGAGAGTATAGAGCTGGTCCAGTGTTCCGCGACCGGGACGAAAACCACACTGCTCCTCCTGGATCCGAGATTCGACCATCGGCCGTAGCCTCCTCTCCAGTACCTTGGAGTAGACCTTACCGGGGAGGCTGAGGAGTGTGATCCCACGATAATTGGAACACACCCTCCGGTCCCCCTTCTTATAGAGAGGGACCACCACCCCGGTCTGCCACTCCATTGGCACCGCCCCCGATCGCCACGCGATGTTGCAGAGACGTGTCAGCCAAGACAGTCCTACAACATCCAGAGACTTTAGAATCAATTGTTTGCTCACAACTAACTACCCCTTGCTCATCACACATCAAAACACAAGAAATTATTACACGTACACTAAAAAGACGTTTGAAATACGATTACTAATAATAATAATAATTCCTTTTTTCCTTAATGGTGCCTTTCAAGACACCCTAAGGACGCCATACAATATATTAAAAAACATCCCACACAATATTAAAAGTACAGAAGATAAAACATTTTAAAATTACAAAAAATAAGCCAAAAGTAGGTTTTGAGATGTGATTTGAAAATGTCCAAAGAGTCTGACTGTCGCAGATCAAACAGGAGAGTGCTCCAGAGTTTAGGGGCAGAGTGGCTGAATGCTCTGGCCCACACACTGAGAGTATTCAATGTGCTGATGGTGATGCGTCAAAATGATGTTTTGCTGGACTTTCACATCCTTGCTCCATTATTTTGTTTTTATTATAAAATGTTATTATTGTTTTATTACAATAATAATTCGATTCCATGCTGAACTTAATATACTTAATATAAAATAATAAACTTGCTATCTGCTTTTAATTGTCAAACCTTTTCAAATGTTCTGGTACAATTATTTTTTTTACATTTAAACCTAGCCTGACTCTCGCCGGACCCTTGCAGTTCACTGCGTTCAGCGAAACGCCTCTGGTGGAGCATGACGGAACTACAAGGGTCTGGCGAGTCAGGCTAGGGCAGGGGTGTCCAAACCGGTCCAGAAAGAGCCGCTGTGGCTGCAGGTTTTCTATCAGACCCAACAGGAGCAGAGCAGACTCTGGAGGGAGTCTGCTCTTTCTGGACCGGTTTGGACACCCCTGGGCTAGGGTAAACCACCATCAAAGAAATACAAGTAATCTATAGTTATTTTATTCTTACTAACAATGATTTATAGTGCTTTGACAATGCAATAACAATTTATAGTGCTTTGAGCATTGTCTCAGTTTTCACTTGTATTACATTAATTGTATCATCATATCATCAAAGAAAACAATTCAACTTCAAAGTCTTGAACCAATAGAGCATCTTGGCACCTGGTCAATGACCGTCTAGACCTGACCTGTCTGAGTGTACTGCATCACATCATATCTTGTTCATAACCACAATATGGGTTGCGTGGTTTCATAAAATGTATTGAGGGTTGTATTATAAATGCCTCTTGGCCAGGACACTGTTGGAAAAGAGGTGTTTGAATCGCAAAGGGCTTTTCCAAGAAAGGAAAAGGAAAAAGAAAAGGAAAAAGAAAGACAATAACAGGCTTAAAAAAATGAAATCATCCTTAATTATATTCTAATGATAAAATCCCTGCATTTTTGCGTTTCCTTGCTTGAATTCTTTTTTTCCCTTCATTAGATCAGCTTGTAAAATGTGTCGGAAATGCTCAAGGTTACCGCTCAGTCCGGAGAAGTTTCCATGCTGAGGCGTTTGCTGAAGCGGTGCAATGGAGGGGAGCGATGGGGGCGGTGGGTGCAGCGGTTGTGCCTGGCCCGCTGGGTGTGGGTGTAAGAGGGGCAGAGGTGAAGATGGAGCAGCCGTCTTTGTTGTGCGCCGGGGTTAAGGACACGCTGGTGTTTTCTACTGTGAAGGTCTCAGGTGGAGGGAGGCAGTGGGCCGGACTGATGCTGAGCAGAGTGGCGCTGCATGATGGATGAGGTGTGCTCATGTGGGCTCTCACCACACATATTATGGTCAAACACACAATCCATCACAGCAGATTGGACCAAGGATTCCTCCGCTCAGACAGAGGACAAGTCCAGCTGAGCACGCGTCACACAAAACTGGACAAGGATTTCTGACAGTTGCTTCCCGAACACACATCTCTTTGACTCACAACCATACATGTTACTATTATAATATAGAAATCTTGATGCAATACATTGTTATGATTGTAATCTACAAACATATTAAGAGAAATTTAAAAGTCATCTCATGTTACAGTAGATTTTACTTTTACTATATTGTATATTTTAATAGTATGAGGTAATAGTCTTGTTTGTAAAAAATAGATATTACTCCAAATCCTAAATCCAGACAAAATGTAAGCGGTTATGTATGTGGTGCCGTAGCAACAACCCAGAGATAAACGGCGATTGGAGATGATTGTGGACTTCAGGAAGATCACAGCCCCTCCCTTCACTGACAAACACCCCCATCACCATAGTGGACCCCTTCTATCACCCACAACCTAAATGGGCAGTTCTACATGACCTCAGCTTCTCCATCACGGTGTGGTACTAAAGCCACTGCCAGGGACAGGTATCACCCAGGACCTGCTCATGTCCTGCTGGGGGCGAGCAGATCAGATCACAATCGACTCTTCTCCCCCAGCACATTTCATCTAAACATTTTTTGAAAGTGGACCGAGTATGGATCCTTGTGGGACACTTACTTAACACACATTTACTTCCTCTTGGCCATATGATGAAGAAACACATTATACAATATTCATATTATGCAGATTTTAGCTATCCATGTCTAAGGGTCATGTGAGTCTGATGGAGGCCCTTTATAATGGAACAAAAAAAGTGGATGGATGAACATATTTTTCTTTTTTAACTAAATCCTGATCAAACTGAAGCTTTTCTAATGGATGGGATTAATCCCTTTGAACACTTGGACATACACTGTATTTGGATTAAAGTTACACGTTATTACAGGTCTCTGCTTTCTAAATTCTGTAAGTGTGAGTTTTTCCATGCGAACGCAAATAAATTCAGTAAAAATTCAGTTTTACCTGTTGGTCAAACTAATATGTAAGATCATGTCACTGTAGGTGTATGTCAGTCATGTGCCATCACTGCATATGTCTCACCTGTAATGCCCCGGTGTGCTGCTCCTAGTGCTATTATAATGAGTGTCTGTGAGGGCAGTTCCTTGTGTGGTTGTGCTCCGTGCTCAGGTGCTGCGGCTGAAGGCCAATCATCACAGACTCTGGGCCTAATGAGGGGATCTCCATGATTCAGTATCCAGGACAGGACACTCTGACCCCCATGCACCGTCCCTGTAGGGCCAGCTGCTGCACCGCCATTAATAAGGACACATTCGCATCCAGCTGAGGAAAAAATACATCTGATAGATTGTATTCAAGTGTGTGTTTATAATGTTTTTGGAGGTAAATCTCTAATGTGTGTGGGTGAAACTCAATTGATTCTTTTTATGGTGCACTACCTTTTCCACTTAGGGGGTGCACTTGTTTGTCCCCATGGTGATGTTATTGCTTTGGCTGGAATGTAGGAATAATAATCTAATCCATGCCACATTTCTTCAATTGCATTTGTATTGCACAAAAATACCTGTGGCTTGAATGCATCACAAGTAATGTTGAACTGTGGAAGAAGTTCAACATTACCCTAATGTAAAACACAAATTATACACAATATAACTCTTTTATAACTGTTTTATTATACTCCTATAGTCCCTATCATTTGTTTTGGTGAAATGAAACAAACAGGATATTAAAAGACAAGATGTACCTGTACTGTGTCAATAACAGAGGTTTTTTTTTCTATTTTAAGGAAACACTTTTGCATAATCCAACAGAGAAAAAACTAAGAGAGACATTTTCTAACATCCTATTCACAGTTTAAAGCAGTGCACATTTTCCACTTTCTTTTTTACTTCTAATTGATTTTACTTAAAACACTGCTTCCTGACCAAATAGGAAATACATAAATAATCTTGCCAGTGCCTTTTCTTTTACAAGGTTTTATAACTGACCTTACATCTTTGCTTTGCAATGGGAGTTGTTTTTGGCTCTGAACCATGCATTTTTAGAAGCAGAAACCTTGAGGTGTTTCAGTAAACACCACTTCACTTTTGGTTATCTGTAAAGCCAAAAGACATGAACAAATACCATCCAAAGCTCATCACTGCCCTGAGGAACATCTGGGCAATTTAACTCCTTTGATACTTTGGACAAATGTAGTTGGGATTGAGGTGATAAATAACAACAATACATCATACGTATACAGCACTCTGTTGACCAAGGTCACCCAAAGCGCTTTACAATGTTCAGAGTTCAGATATTTTTCCATTCACTCCACACGATGATAACGGAAGCAAGACGCCGAACACACTGGCCCATCAAAGCCTCTGACCAAACACCATTCATTCACTCACTGATAACATTCATACCTATTGTACATGTTTTGTGGTAGAGGAAACCGGAGCACCCTGAGGAAACTTACACAGACAAAGGGAGAACATGCCTCAGAACGGCCCTGTTCCGATCAGGATGCAAACCCAGGACCTTCTTCGGTGACCACTACATCTCAATAAACAAAATATGTCAAGCTCTGTTTTTTTATTATAATGTTGCTTTTCCATTAGCCTGGTCGTACCACACCATAGTACAAATTACATTTCATACTAAGGTCTGGAGGTGCTCCATTGAGCTCCGTTTACAGGTGGGAGGGGTTAACTCCTTTTGCAGATTGAAACGATTGGATCTGAGTTTACCGTCACGCGCACTACAAAATATTATTATGTAGTGCGCCCGAGTCTGTTGATAGAACTAGACCGGATTACTTTACTATCGCATTTTTCGCCATTGCCAAACTACGACCTGCCCGTTCGACGCAAACTCTTGACATCACCCACTACTAACTACAACCCCCACAGCTCCCACGCTCGCTGATTTGTCGGCCGAAATTCAACCGATTGTAATCGCTAACATGGGAACCAGACCCAGACGTTACATGCAGGGAAATGATGATTGAGCCAGGCTACTTTTCCATAGTTGCACAATGCAGAAGTATAAACTCTCTTGAATCTACATAAAACCTTGTCAGTTTAAGTCCTAACTAATCAACAAAGCGATTTTATAATTGTTTGCAAAGGGGCTCATTTGTTGCAAATCTGCAGCGTGAAATACATGTTTGATGATACAAATGTAAGAGTCTGACCTTGATGCTGTGATGCACGATTCATTTCACCACAAAACTCATTCAGTACCTTAGCTGTGACTGTAGACCCGTCGATCTTAAAATCAAATTAGCAAAACAAATCAAGCATGTGATGCACTGGCTTGTTGATTGCCGCTGTTTTTTCAGTCTTTATTTTATTGGCATTTTTCCCTCCCTTTTCCTCCTGAAGTTGCAGCTTTCTCGCCACGGGCGTCCCTGTGGACCGGACCAGATGTTCCAGGCACCACTTCCCCACTCTCTCTCTGCCTCATGGAATATTCATGGGCAACCAGGCACAGCAGCACACACCGCAGACCACTTTTTTATTTATTTCTTTGGCCTGCTGCTGCCTGACTGTCTAATGCACAACAATAATTCAACATTCAACAAAAGCATCGCGTCATGTTCCACTCTCGCTCACCACATCCTCTCCCAACTTTTGCAAGAAAAAACATGGGCAATCCATTTTACAAGTTAGATTAGATTTTGTGACAATATTATTGTTGTAAGGGTTTTAAGTTGTTGTTTGTTATCATGCACATTAAACCATATACTTGACCCCTTTTTGAGTATGCAAGTATCACATACAGTGACAGGAGATGGCAGAAAAGCTGTTCTACACTGTTTCTGTTTGTTCAATGATCTGCCTTGTGGACATCACTCAAGCATTTGACTCAGTTCAATACTGTTGTAAAGAATGGTTCAGAATGACTAAGATGTCATTTTTTAACTGTGGCCACAGGGATATCAGCATTATGTGTCTTAATGATCAAAACTACTCGTAGCAGCCAAGTCTACTTTAAATTCTAATTAAAAGAATTACCTCAATTGGCATCAAACTGTTGTCTATCTATTGTCATCTATTCATTAATTAACCATTTCCACTCTTCTCTGGTATGTCCCTCAAGGGTCTAAATTAGGCCAACTCCTATTCATGATAATGAATCTTCTTACACATAGACCAATATATTCTGTAAATTCAACTTCAAATCAGTTTCAACTGTTATTCAGATAACATCTAGCCTTTTGACCAAACCCACTGTAACTCTCTCTCCCACCTCCCTCTGTGATTGCCTTCAAGAAACAAAATCCTCTTCTTCCTCATTTTCCTCAAACAAAAGAGTGATAAAACCTTGGAACTCTCTTCCCCTTGACCTCAGATAAAATACTCAAAATCCACCTTTTTAGTACTCCTTTCTCTTCATTATGTAGTTATATCATTTGTATTTTAATGTTATTGTTAAGGTTTTATTGTTGTGATTTTGTCGTAAAGTAACCATGATTATTTATCGTTTAACAGACTGTAGTAGGCCCACATCTAAGCCTAGATGTAGACCATTTGGATGCAGGCCTACTACAAGCAAAGCTACTCAAAGGTACTAAAAAGTTGACAAATCGATTATACAATTGTACAATGTCATTGCAAATACTGACTTACATGTTTTGGCAAATACTCTATGTAATGGCTTCCGAAACAACAAGGTGATCCATCAGGAGAAACATGCCGCTAACAGCCCGCGACAGGATCCATTACTGTCGAGTATTTAGCCCAATTATCATCACCAAACAAAGAATTTAAGTGTCCCAATGCATTAGGCTGGGTTGTAAACATTGGCATCAGATTTAAGCACTACCATTAGGCATCATGCTCTAACATCACTCCAGTTACTCTGCACCCATCTGCCTAATAAAAGTGAGAGGAGAGGGGAAAATCAGAAAAATACCCAGACCTTTCTGAGAGGACATCACGTGGCAGAAGATTGTGATAGTTGAGCGAGTGCTGCTAGGTCCAAGCCTGGCCTTAGCCATCCCTAAACTCCAGTCAATTAATATTTCCCTACATATACGTCTGGGTGTGATCCAGTGGGGGCAGGTCCCAGCTCAAAAGTGGCCAAAATGACGTGCGCTGACATGCTGCAATACCACCCCGGGCCGATGGGGGTGGACCCAGAAGAAGAATTAGCCAATGCTAACATATAGCATTGGCAGACCTCTCAAAAACGTCTTTACAAGATGGACCAAAAGTTGGCTCTTTGCCCAAAGCTCCGTTCCACATGTGTGTCAATGCTGAGGGGGATGAATTTTTTTGGTCCACTCTAGTTTACTCGCGGTGAATTTTTTAAGTCTCTCGTTCAAATGAATGGAGCTGCGCCGGCTGACGCATGCGTTTTTCCACAATTTTCTTGTGGGCGGGACCACTCGCGGCCATCTTGGATTGCTCCATGAAAGGCGGAGATAGGCGTGACTCTGTCCGTTATTACAGTCTAGGGTGTGATCATAATGGCTTTGGTTACCTTGATTGTATCCAAGCAAGTGGGGGAGGTGGGTGTAGGTAGGTGTCAGTGACATCAAGAGTTTGCGCCAAGTTTGCTGGTCGTAGTTTGGCAATGGTGGGGAAAGAGATAGTAAAGTAATTCGTACTGGTTCGGCTCCCAAATATCAAGAAATTGAAGCCGGAATGTTTAGCAAATGTTATTGCTGGCAAATATGTTGTGGCTCCTCTCCCCACGAGCTCCCTTAGTGGCAAAGGAAATGGCTAAAGTGGGGCTAAATACTAAATTCTAACTCACTCGGGCGCATTACATACGTCACGGCAAACTCAGATCCAATCGTTTCAATCTGCAAAAGGAGTTAACCCCTCCCACCTGTTAACAGAGCTCAATGGAGCAAAACCTTGTTCTGAAATGAAATCAGTACAATAGTTTGGTAAGGCTAGGAAGGTCCTGGTTGAGGCAATAGTAAAAGGTAAAGGTAAGGTATACTTTATTAACCCTGTCCCTGTGTCCTCTACATCTGAACCATGCTGCGATGCCAGTAGGGCAACCTGTCAGTGGTCAGCACAGTGCTAGTGCTGGACCAATCTCCAGATGTTGATGCTTGGCTTAGTCAAGATAATGAGGATTTTACCATTGGTTCATCTTTTTGGTGGTGTGGAAACTGGAACACACCTCATCAATAACTTTCTGTTGGTCATTATTGTTCAGTAGGAACACATTATCAGATATTTTTTTGTGTGGGGAGGGGGGGGGACACTAAATTAGCTGCATTGTGCAATTAGCAGCTAAATTGTGAAACAGCAATGATAAAAGCTGCATCTCCGTTGGCTGTAAACATGTGCGTATCCCAGATAAAAGCAGATGTGGAGGGTAAGGTGAGTCAGTTTCTGTGAAGAGTTTCCCTGTGATCCAAAGGGAGTGTGTGAGCAGGCGGTACCTCTGCTCCATTTGACTGCGGTCCAAAGTGACAGCTGACGCCGGCTGCACAGACATCATGAACGAGCAGATGTGGCGGCAGCTTTCCAAGTGCACCAACACTTCATCCCTTCTCTTCTCATTTTCCCCATACTTTTTCTTCCTCCGCTCTGTGCCTTTTTGATGAAGTATCTTTCTCTCCGTTTGGCCCGTTTCTCAATAACATCTGTGCAAAACATAATACAGTAATGTTCCATGGTTGATGCTTCTAAATGAGACTCTTTTGACACCAGTCACTTGTTTTGTTTCAGTGCCCAAACCCCTTGCATTCTCCCAGCATGCACCTGTGTTAGAAGGGTTTTCAGATCTCCCAGCTGAGGCGCAGCTGAGTACTTATGGGCCCATATCCGGCACTACTTCAACTCCTGCTAATCAAATTGCTTCTATGTAATTAACAAATTAGCAGCTAATGTAATTCTTTTATGATTTCCATGTCCAAAGATTGAATTTTGAACATTGCGAATGTGCTCTTAAGCAACGCCTGTCCTTGTTAATAATTATCTTTTAGTTAGTTAGCTTTCTTGTCCATTATGTTTTTCCAGGTAGAGTTGACCATGCTGTCTCAGACAATGGTGCTCTCCTCTGTTCGTAAAGATAGTATTCCCAGAGCAGCAGCGATAAAGAGCAGGGATCCTCTACGGGACGACTTTATCAGGAGTGTAGGTCAACTAGGCCAGTTAATAATGCTGTTATCTCCGAGGCAGGGCGGACTGAGAGGGTGGGGAACAAGGGGGGAGGGCGTGCACGGAAAATAAATGTAAATAAAAGAACAGGAAGGAGTGCAGGAGGGAATTAGCCGGTGGTTCAAAAGGCGCTGTGCCCGCAGAGAGCCAGAGTCCCGCTGTGAGAGCAGGAGGAGCAGGAGGAGCAGGTGGCAGTCTGCAGGCTGCTCACTGCACTGTGCGCCTGCTTCTTTGTGTGCGCTACGCAAAAGGCAGCACTCCTGTAGTCAATGATCTTGTCAGTCCAGTCCAGACTCAGAAAACCAAAGGGTTTGAGTCTGGACTGGACTGACAGGGTCTATACAGAGGTGGCTGTTCTTATATGTTCTGCAGCTTTCCCTCACATCTCGTCTTAACACTTAATAGTTCTTGAGAATAAGGACTAAGAATCCATAGATGAATGCTAAAAGATAAATAGAAATACGCTGGCAGAGATCACAGCAGCTGCACAGATGTCGGCTGTTGTAATAGTGTAATAGTTATTTACACATTTTGATCAGTGCTACAGCAAAGGACTGTTTCTAAAGGCACAACTTTTAGATTTTCTCTCTCTGGTGTGACATAAAAATTACTTTGAAACACTTTTTTATGCTGTGGATAAAAAAAAATCAACATAATAAAATTTTTGTGGATTTCTTTCTCTGTCTTTCTCTCGCATTGAGACAAACATCATAGATATGCTTGTAGTATTGAGAAGAAGGCATGCTCCGTAGAACAAATGGTGTTAATTTGCCGCGCCTCTCTGAAGCTGCACATTAGAGAGAAGCCTTCAGGGAGTGGGGGAGGTAGACTGGGGCTGAGGGAGAGAGGGGTGGCAGAGGGAGGTGGAGAGGATGGAGGGAAGAGGAGGAGGCAGCAGCAGCTGTGCTGGAATTAATGTCTGCATGCCAAATTAGAAACACCATGCATCTCCGTCAGAGATTCACAGGAAAAATTAAGGATGGAAAAAGAAAGAAATGAGAGAGTGGCACATGTGATGAGATGGATATGTAAATTAATATGTTAAGTCTCTAAATACTACCAGTATGCACAATGTATTATACAGAGTTAATTATATTCAGTATCTCTGTTTCAAAATGGGCCTTGTGCTGAAGACTGAAAGACCTTTTATGCAGCATTGTTTTTAATATACGCTCAGGACTGAACCTTTTTGTTGACAAAGATTTTATGTTATATTTATATTTTCGTCGAAGGGAAGTCTGTTCATGAAGTGACTGATGTGGTTGGCAAAGCCCACAGCAGAGGTGCAGAGTGAGGCCACATGTCCCAGTGGTGCCCCTTGGGGACAGAGCCACCTCATTCAGAGGATCAATAATGAGAGTACAGGCTCTCTCTAATGATAGCTGCAGGCCACAGGGCCAAGGGCCTCAGGGCAGTGCTCTGGCAGTATGGCCTTTATGAATACAGGATTGTATCAAGAGAAGTGTACCGCTGATGTGGGCCGAGTGGTGAGAAGTATGTCAGCTGAAGGACACGAGAAGCAGATGGCTGTAGCTTCACCTACGGCTACACTTCACTGAAGTGTAGAGAGCTTTAAGGGCAGAGTATAAACTTCAGAGGAATGGCCATGTTTGACATGACTTTGACCTTGAATATCTTAATTTGTGAAAATTATTACCTTGGCCAATTTTATACTGAACATCAGAAATGGGAACTTCTGAGTTCTTGATACTACTGTTTCCTCGAGTACATACTGTAGATGTCCATGGATCTTTCTATGACTTGATTGATTAATAATTAGGTTGAAAACAAATCTGAGATGAGGCAATATATGATTTGTGCTCAGAAAAGGTTGTTGCGCACATGTACACTTCTAGTAAAACATGTGTGGAGTATTCTCAATGAACACAGCTTTAGCATAAATGTCATGTCTCATGAGTCATGTTCTCCCACTGTACTGTATGCTGCAGCAGGTCATACAGTAGCACAGACTTACAAAACAACAACACGTTCATTAGCTCATTTCACTTTTCTCTCTCTCTTTCACTGCTGAGCTAAATTATCTCTTCTTTGTGTGTCCTCTGCTGAAACAAAGCCCTGTGCCCCCCAGCCCCTCCCGCTCTGTCACTGTGCTTCTCCTGTCTGACCGAACTCCCCTTCTCCCCCTGCTTCCTCCTCTCACCCCCCGGGAGGTGACATCTGCCGGGATGCGCTCGGTTGGCTCCAGATGCACCGCCGCCACCGCCACCCGAGCGGAGGGTGCGCAGGCGAACGACACCCCGGCACTCATTTCAATTCCATCACCCTCTCCCAATCATCTTGCCTCTCCCCTGTGCAACATTAACGAGCCTCTTTCATTTGAATACATAATTAGCCGCCCGAGCACTCTGCTTCACTAATTTTGAGACAAAAGGATGGAGGAGACAAGGAGGGTGTGTGTTGAGGGGTGGAGGGTGAATGGGTGGGGGTGGGATGAAGAGGATGAGGCAAATAATGATAAAAAAACATTTGCATTTTAATCTTAAGCCTATGGGGATCTGTGTTGTTGTTGTTTTTTTCAGTAGTTTTTTCCTTTTGTCTCATTTCACTCTGGCTTGCTTCCTATCAAATCCATTTTTAACCGTTAGCTTGTTGTTGTAATGCGACTACAAGCACATCGTAAGTTGTTTTGTGTTTGTGTATGTTTATGTGATAATGCATGCATGTGTGTAAGTGAATCTAGCAGCCGCCCTGAGGGCATGTGTCACTCCCAAGCCAAAATAAACCCCACTTACTGCTGTACAATAAATCATTCTCCTCAATGAGCTGAAGCCAGCTGAGACACTATACTCAGTGCACTACAGCATCATCCCCATTCAATAAGCATAGCTCTACTATTGCCCTCCGTGACTCATTCCCTTTGCTTCAAACGGCCTTGGAGCTGTCGAGTGGACAACTTAGTGACACAAATGAACACGCATGAGCCTCACATTGTACTGCTGCCATACAATACTATTATGAACTGTAGATCCATTAGTATCTTTTATATCTGTATGACTCTGTAAATGAGAGCTCAAAAAGCACAGCAGATGAAAAGCATCAAAGTGGTGAGACAGTTGTGAGATAGAAATGGGCTGCGACAGAGGAACGCAGCAGAAGAAAAGCAGTGGATGTGTGCTTATGTAGCCTGTGAAAGTGGTGTCGCGTCGCTTCCTTCTTGGTGGCGTGCCAGCCCTGGCCTCCTGTCAGCCATCGGGGGAGCCAAATGACAGCTTTGATCCTATTAGGATCTGCGCCAAATCAACACTTTACTCATTAAGTGGTGGCTTCCTGCATGTGCCAGCTAACGACGCGCCCGCCTGTACTGTACCAGAGCGTGCCAACCGTGGCCTGTGAAAGGCCCGCTCACCTGGCATGACGACGTAACAAGCTGCTGACTCAGTGCTGATCTGACACTGTGTGAGCAGTTCTACAGAAATTTGTGGACCGGAAACAACTGTTGTCGTATAATTACATACCATCTAACACTGAATGCAGTTTGTGCATACAAATAAATGTAATACTTTGTGATGGAGTCATAACATTATTAATCCAGATTCAACAATGAGTCATCACAATGAAACATCACAGCCTGACTTATGCAATAAAATGGTCACTGTAATATCGCTGGAAGTGTCACGTGGCAAAATTAAATTAACCCAAAATGAAGGATAGCAAAAAAAAGGAAATACAAAAGCAAAATCCAGAGAAAAAATACAAAAAGTATCCAAACAGGTGAAGAAGACAGGAGACATTGTAATGACACTGACAGAAACGGGGAGTGAAGTAGGGACAAGGCTTAAATACATAAGATTAAAGTTTAGTGCAGGGTAATCACACAACAGGACGTGAAACTACAGAAGACACAGGGCTTAACAAATTACAAAATACAACTGGAAATAAACCCAAACCTTGACAGTAAGGCTATCGAGGGCCTGACCTTTTCTGGCTTGATAAAGTTCAATAAATAAATAGATACATTTTCCTACTACATTATACAAAATAATCAATTATTCAGTATTTATTAGAAGTAAGAAGTCACAAATGAACTCATCTCCAATGTACTGCAACGGAGCCCTCAGACAGCGTTCTGGACGATTGGACCTCTTCGGAGACGTGTTATTGGTTATTGATGTCCAGCGGTCAGGGCACGGGGTCACGCAGCCGGCTTTAGGTTGAGCTCTGGGGAAACACACGAGTCTTATGCAAGTGATGAAACCTCAGCTCCATCTTATTTACTGCTCCACCCCAAACTTTGTCCCTGACCTATGGCCTCCATGGGGGAATACAATATGGATGCACTGCTCTCGTTCTGCTCCAGCGAGTTATTGAACTGGGACAGTGCAGGAACGCTCAGGGCGCCTTCACCACAATCAACCTCCATGAGATACATACGGACGTCTCACACCAAGCCCCCAGAATGTTCACTTGACTATTAGATCATAAAACAAATCATTATAGGGTTTGTTTTTCAGCTAGAAAATCAAATAAAAAAATAATTAAAAAAATGCCATAACTGAAATATGCCAGAATTTGAAAACGGAACAAAAATGGGAAAGAAAAAGCAATCAAAACATTAAATCCAATGAGATATACATTTCAATTTATCTTTATAAAAGGTTATGAATAATAATTGGATGGCGATGGGCCGACAGTATTTATTGTAACTGTGACAGAGAAATAATATAATGTAATGTAATGTAAATAGCCTCTACAATTACAGACATTGTAACACGCAAACTGTTCTGCTGTTAGTTCACTGGCCACAACAATAGAATGATATTGAAATATGTTTATCGTTAGCAGAATGTCGATTCATAATAGCAAGGAATTGTGACTTTTCTTTTATTGTTACTGAGGAGTTTAGTCCATTTCCATTGTGTTTCTGCTTTGCATCATTGTACATGTACTCCTAATTTGCATACTGCAGTGTGAGCTCAATTAAAATGAACTTTTAATTTCTTACAAGTAAATTAGTTTTGCATGTGATGCGTGCAAATGCCGGGATAATGGGTGTTTTTTAATGAGCTCACAAGCTGAGTGCACCCGATCAACTCCCGGGTCTGAGAAGAGTGATGCAAGGAACCCACCCTCACCTTTTCCTTCACCCAGCACTGAATATGTCACACATGCATACTACAAACATGTACTTTTCATCAATGCTAATTTGTCATATGTGAAGGTTAATATTACGCCAGCTACGACACCAGGCCAGTTGTCTATTTCCTTCACGTTTTTTGTATCAAATTGTCTCTTTCTATTGGAAAATACAATGCAAAAAAATGTATAATAAATTCAACAACTATACTGTGGCTTGAAAAGTATTCATGCACATTTTCCACATGTTGCCATAACAATAGATGCATGTGAGTGAAAGACAAAAGTAGTCCAATGATTAATGATTAATGATAAGTCCAAAAAATTCGTCCAATGATTAAAAACAACAACAAAACTGCAAGGAGGTGCTGGCAAATGGACCTTTTTTTCTAAATGCAACCCTGCAAGTTGCTTGATGACGAATGGTCAAATGCCGACCAAACTATTAGAGTCCACCTGGGTAAGATCTAATCTCAAAAGGATTACAGCTAATCTGTGATGATAATATTGGTCACAAAACAGCATAAAGAAGGAGGCCAATGGAAACTCTGGAGCAGCTGCAGACTTCCACAACTCACCTGGGGAATATTTTACATGTGGATAACATACACTACACCGATCTGGCTTTTTGAACACTTGCTTAAAGAAACATTATGTTCAATTAAAGTCACATGTAGCCATGGGGCACATTCAACATGTGGAAGAAGATGATGGAACTTTTTGGCCTAAAAACACCAGAGACAATTAACACTACTAACTTATGTGGTGGTGGCAGCTGGGGCTGCTTTTCTTCAGCAGGGACAGGGAAGAGTGTCAGAGTTCATGGGAAGGTGGACGGAAAAGTGGTTGGAGTCTGCAAAAGACTTTGGACTGGCTGGACCTACCATCAGGATGTAACACTACATTTCCCTTTCCATGCAATGTAATAGTTTAGAACGGCCCAGTCAAAGTCAGATCTATCCAATACAGAATCTGTATTCACTATTTAAAAAATGGTGTTCACAATTGCGGTCCAAAGCTTGAGCTGTTTTGCAAAGAGCAATTTAACAGAAAATTCAGTTTTATATGTGCAAAGCTTATAGACCTAAACCCCAAAATGTTTGCTTCTGTAGATGCATTGAACAGGTATTAACTTATATACATTTGCAAGATATATATATATATAAAAAATCACTTTTCATTGGCCTATCACTTAATGGTGATCTTTCACAAAAATCTTTGAAGTATATGAAAGTTTGTGAGCAGCTTCACAAACTGTTTGCACAACTTTCCCTTTCAGAGCTCTCCACTCCTGGTTCTTCATATGTGTCACCTGCACCTCTCCTGGAGCAGAGGTGGTCTTTGTGCTCTGAGTGCTGCTGATGTCAGGACGGTGGAGCAGGTGCGCCCACAGAAAGAACCCCGTTGTTGTGGCACAGCGGCTGGGTAAACAAACTCAACAGAGGTCCCTGCCACATTGTCACACACACACACACACACACACACACACACACTCAAACAGACTATTTCACTATTTAGATCCAGCAAACACATGTGAGTTCAAAAGAGCCGGGTTGCAGATGGACTTAAGGCACTGCTCCCCAAGCTGCTTTTACACAGCTGTAACTTATCAGCTGTTTTTTTAACCACTATTTGTGACAAAGAAAGTGCATCCAAGCTGTTTTGAGCTGGTTAAAACAAAGAGTTTCATACATGGATTTGACTAAAGATGATGCCCGATAGAAAGATGGAAGCATTGTCGCCTCTGGTCGTAATAAAACACATTGCATTCCCAGGGTATTATATTTGATCAAGAGCACACACAGCACTAAGAATGAGGCGGTATAGGGATGCTCCACCGCTGAAACTCAGGATTTCGTTGGACCTCCATCTGTTTTCTAGATACAAAGGGTGATATGAGAAAGGCCCTTGATTGTGTAGCTGATATTGCGTTGTGTGTTCTTTTCTTTCTGTATTAAGATTAGGAAATCCTTTAATGTTTTACTTCATCATAAAAAACTATGAACTTTAGAATAGAAATTCATTGTTTGTTTTTTTCAGTATTTTCTTGGTGCCATCACTCTCCTGATGCCCGCAGCCCTTCTCATCTTCCTATGCAGCCCTTGCTCTCTCTGCTCCTCATTCCTCCTCCTCCACCAGCCGCACAGCTGTGCAGGGCAGATTAGTGTGTTAGTA